GGGCCGGGCTGCGCTCCTTTCTGGGGAGGACTGACGTGTGAAAGGCTGATGGGACTCTGCCTGGGTCAGAGGGAGGCGGTCAGGGCTGAGGAGGCAGCTGAGCGGTGCCGTGTGGTCCAGCTGCTCTGTATGTCCGCTGCCCCCTCTTGCTTCTAGCTCCCCTTCCTCCTCCCCTGTATCTCCACCTCCTCCCAGCCTGTGGGCAAGACCTGTGCCCTCTGGCCTGCCTGAGGGCCCCTGGCCTGGGGGAAAGGCCCTAACCTCTCCCTTTGGTCCGTTGGGGGCCTCTCCCTCAGACTTGGACAGAGAGGTGCACAGGTGACACTTGTTATGATCCAACCTTTTCTCTTTCTGCCAAACCAAATGCCTCCTCCTCCGTGAAGCCTTCCTGGACTTCGGGGAGGATTGGCCCTTCTTTCCTGTGCTCCAGTCACCCTGGGCCCCTTCTCGGCACAGCCTGCACCGAGCCGAGCCGCAGAGAGCCAGCAGAGGCCGTCTGAACCAGCTGTGGTGACAGCACTCAGGGCTGCAGCCCAGGGGCCTTAGAGCGGCCGTCGAAGGCATTCCGATTCAGTCTGGTGGAAAGTGCCGCTGGCCACGTACGCACAGCGGGCAGCCCCTGGGTCTTCGTGTGCGCCCACATCCCGCGTCTGCGTGCTGGGGTCTTCATTGGAGACAGTCTGGAGGGCTAGGCCTGTGTCTCCCTCTAACTAAGAATGCCTGGGCTTCTTGGGAGTCTGTCAGTTCTGTGAGTTCAGAGCTGCAGGATTACAGGTCCTGAGGGACAGAGGGGGGCAGCCACTCCCTGCCTACCTCCCTGCCCCACCGCCATGCTGCCTCTGCATGGCCTCTAGGTACTCCACCCCCTACCCCACCCCCTCACCTCCGGCCGTTTACAGGGCCTTGGAGAGACTGAGGCGTGTAGTTGAGGTCAAGTTCACCATTGTGAACCCAGTGGTCACTGGAGTCACGCTCACACTTGTACATAGGCTCATGCCCATCCGGGGAGCACAGGGCCCATCCGGGGAGCACAGGGCCATCCGGGGAGCACAGGGCCCATCCGGGGAGCACAGGGTCCATCCGGTTAGCACAGGGTCCATCCGGGGAGCACAGGGCCCATCCGGGGAGCACAGGGCCCATCCGGGGAGCACAGGTCCATCCGGCGAGCACAGGGCCCATCCGGGGAGCACAGGGCCATCCGGGGAGCACAGGGCCCATCCAGGGAGCACAGGGTCCATCCGGTTAGCACAGGGTCCATCCGGGGAGCACAGGGCCCATCCGGGGAGCACAGGTCCATCCGGGGAGCACAGGGCCCATCCGGGGAGCACAGGGCCCATCCGGGGAGCACAGGGCCCATCCGGGGAGCACAGGGTCTGGGTTCACAGGCCTAGCTGTGCTCGGCCCCAGGAGGTCTGCAGAGGCCCGGGGCCACACCGGCTAAGAGGAGGCTCACCTGTACCAACAAGCGGAAGGGCGTCCAGGAGGGGGCGCTGGCTTTCCGGTAATGACACCGCCGCGGCAGAGCCTGCTCCTTTGGGACAGGCTCGGACGCCTCGCCCGGCTCTGCCTGGCTCCACGCAGCCACTCCTGGCGCCCAGCATGTTCTCCAGGGTGGCAGGGAGGCGGTGTTCTCACTGAGAAACCGTGACGGACCCGGGGCACGGTGTGTCTCCAAGGCTCTGCATGCGCGTGGCTCTCCCTTCTGTGCGTGTGGGGGGAGGGGGGAGGATGGGGGCCAGTGCTGTCCAGACCCAGGGGAGAGACCACCTCTGGGGCGAGGCTACTCTGGGAGGGTGGTGTGGCAGTGAGTAGCCTGGAACCACACATGAAGGTCAGAGGCTGGTCATCAAAATAACCGTGATGATAATCTACACCAATAAAAGGGCAATATGCTAATTAGGGTGGACGTCTTCCAGATGCCCATCAGACAAAGCCACAGCTGCTGCCTGAGGCTCAGGCAAGCCACAGATGGCGGCTGCCGCTGCCCCGGGCCAGCCCAGGCTCAGGCAGCCGTGGTGGCCGCCAGTGGCAGCAGCAGCGGGCTGATGGGGGCAGTGCCTTCCCCTGATCTGCCAGGACGCCTCCAGCAGAGGGAGGCCAGACTGGCTTAGGCTGGGAGCCCAGGCAGAGGCAGTTGGGGGTGATCAGGCCAACAGGGGGGCAAGGTAGGGGCGTTCAGGCAGGCAGGCAGAGGGGTTATGGGCTGGCAGGCAGGCAGAGGGGTTATGGGCTGGCAGGCAGGCAGGCAGAGGGGTTATGGGCTGGCAGGCAGGCAGGCAGAGGGGTTATGGGCGGTCAGGCAGGCAGGCAGAGGGGTTAGGGGCGGTCAGACAGGCAGGCAGAGGGGTTAGGGGCGGTCAGGCAGGCAGGCAGAGGGGTTAGGGGCAGTCAGGCAGGCAGGCAGAGGGGTTAGGGGCGGTCAGGCAGGCAGGCAGAGGGGTTAGGGGCGGTCAGGCAGGCAGGCAGAGGGGTTAGGGGCAATCAGGCAGGCAGGCAGAGGGGTTATGGGCGGTCAGGCAGGCAGGCAGAGGGGTTAGGGGCGGTCAGACAGGCAGGCAGAGTGGTTAGGGGCAATCAGGCAGGCAGGCAGAGGGGTTATGGGCAGGCAGGCAGAGGGGTTAGGGGCGGTCAGGCAGGCAGGCAGAGGGGTTAGGGGCAATCAGGCAGGCAGGCAGAGGGGTTAGGGGCAGGCAGGCAGAGGGGTTAGGGGCGGTCAGGCAGGCAGGCAGAGGGGTTAGGGGCAATCAGGCAGGCAGGCAGAGGGGTTATGGGCGGTCAGGCAGGCAGGCAGAGGGGTTAGGGGCGGTCAGACAGGCAGGCAGAGTGGTTAGGGGCAATCAGGCAGGCAGGCAGAGGGGTTATGGGCGGTCAGGCAGGCAGGCAGAGGGGTTAGGGGCGGTCAGACAGGCAGGCAGAGGGGTTATGGGCGGTCAGGAAGGCAGGCAGAGTGGTTAGGGGCGGTCAGGCAGGCAGGCAGAGGGGTTATGGGCAGTCAGGCAGGCAGGCAGAGGGGTTATGGGCTGGCAGGCAGGCAGGCAGGCGAGCTGTTAGGAGCCAGCAGTCCAGGATTTGGAGAGGGATGTCCAAGGGGTCCCAGATTGGAGGGGTGCAGGCCAGGCTGAGGGGACCCTCCCCCCCCCCACGAATTGCATGCACCAGAGCTCTATAAGAATAATAAAAGCAGAATATGCTAATTAGGCTGGACGTCCTTCCGGACAAAGATGGGGCTGCAAGGGCAGCCGCTGCCGGCAGCCGGGGGAAGGCAGGCCCGCGCGTGCGCGAGCTCTAGTGATGACTAAAAGCAGCAGCCACCTCCCAGCGCTGGCTGTGCTGAACTCTGGGCCTTCAGAACTCAACCCTAGGCGATGCCATCCGCTGCCCAGATGGTGTGCCCCAGTCCACACTCCTGGGGCCAAGCGAGGCCCAGCCCAGCCAGTGCTGCTCTGGCCTCGGAGGGCGCTGGCCCGCAGGGGGCCTGAGGGGCGGCAGGACTTGGCTTGTGGGAAGGCATCCTCATCCCCACAGGCACTGTGACCCCAAACCGGAGTGAGTCCCGCCCCGGGAGGTGTTTGAGCTGCAGGAAGGTGAGCAGCTGGTGGGGTCCTCCAGGCAGGATGGACTCTGAGGACCTGCCCCACCGACAGTGTCCAAGCCCAAACTGGGCCCCCGCCCCTTCGCCTGCGAATCAGCCTTCTTCCTCTGAGGCCAGCCGGCAGGCCGCGGAGAGAGGCCGGGTCCCGCACGGAGCTGTTCAGCGTGCGTCTCTCCTGCCGTGCCCGTCTGTGGCTCCTCTAACCTGGTCGGTGCGGCTGCGAGGGAGAGCCGCCCGCAGCGCCAGAGCCGGAGGGAACGCCGAGCCTCCTGGTGACTGACCTCGGGCTCCCGCACCTCCCGCCTCAGCCACGCCCCGTGAGTCCACTGCACAGAGTTTGAAGTCTGTTTGCGTGGAGGTGTTTGTGTTACTTAACACCCTTCCAACCAGCTCACGCTGCCTCCCCCACCACTCGGTGGTTTTCCACGGTGTGGGGTGCACCTGGCCAAGCTGTTCTGGAAAGAGAGGCAGAGAGCAAGGGGCAGGGGGGCGGGTGAGAGGGACACCGGTGAAGCACAGCCCAAGGTCACCGGCTCCTCCCGCCCTCCCCAGGGGCACGCAGGCGGCGGCGAGGAGAGCTGCTAAGGGAAGGCTGTCCAGCTGGGTCTGGTTCGCCCCACCTTGTCCCTGGCTGCTCTGCCTCACCCGGGCAGCGGGGAGGGAGGGAGAGTCAGGTGCCTTTGCTGGCCAGGGGGGAGCTTGGAAATACCTGTCTCCAGGCCACGAAGAGGAAGCGTGGCCGCCTCTCACATTAGTGTGATTCATTGCTGTCACGCTGGCCCCCAGGGCCGCGGATCCGGCACGGAGCCGGCCCCAGCCGTGCCCGGTTGTGTAATGGTGGGGCGCCTGCCAAGGCGGCGAAGGCAGCCTCAGGGGGTGCTGCCAAGGGACGTTCTGAAGGTCACAGGAGGCCCTGGCTGTTGGGGTACAGGGTGGGGTGGCTGGTGGGCAGGAGGCTCAGGAATTCTCCTTCTCTCGGTCCCCCTTCCCTCCGGCTGTGTGAGTGTGGCACAGCCCCGCATCTCTGCCCACTGCCCTCTTTAGAGGGCACTCGGGGCCACCGAAGCCTCGGTCTCCCCAACGGGGCAACGAGCCCACAGTGCCCTTCCTGTGACCCCCAAGGTCAAGGAGACCAGTGGACGTAACGACCATCAGAAGATTCTACGTGAAGACATGTCGTTAGCATGAACATGGCCATCCATCTCCTTGTCTTCTCGCTTTAATAGCAGGTCCCGTCTGTCTGCCTGGTCCGTGTCCCTCCCCGGTCACATGGGGTCCCCAGGGTCACATGGGGTCCCCAGAACCCGCTGGGCTGGGCTGCTGGGGCGGGGAGCCGATGGCGGGCCCAGGCTCTCAGGAATGACTGGAGCCTGGAGGTGGTGCACCTGCCAGTGAGGAGAGTGGGCAG